AAACATACTCACCATCTCCTGGCTTTGCGAAATTCCCAGCTGCTGGTTGTCCTGTTTTCTTTTCCAAAAATACTCACCATCTCCTGGGTGTTGGCAAACTCCAATTCCTGGCCATCTTGTTTCCTATTCCAATAATACTCACCATCTCATGGGTGTTGGCAAAGTCCAATTCATGGCTGTCCTCTTTCCTATTCCACAAATACTAACCATCTCCTGGCCTTCTTTTTTTTTTTTGTAAATTTTATTTGAGTTTTCACACACAAAAAAATACAAATAAAACATCTTTTTTGAAAGTAGCGTAATCCCAGGTTACATTTCTTCGTAAAGACACAAATTCAATTTCATGCTCATTTTTATGTTCTATTCCATATCTTATTACTGTTTTACATTTTCTACATAGCTTCTTCCCTCTTTTAATTTTCTCAATTTTATTTTAATTCTCATCTCAATTCAAATCATTATAGTTATACTTTTTGTCTGTCCTGTTTCAATTTCATATTATCTTTTCTCATTAAACAAAGTTTCTCCTGTAATTGCTGATTGGAGAATGACACCTTTATATCTTTCAAGTTTATCCATTCAACTCTTAGTTAGGCTTCAATATATACCTTAAAGTTATAACATTCAATATAATACATAACTTCCATTCGGATTCTGCTTGGTACATTCTTAAAATACACACTATATTCTTAAAGAAAAAAAGATTATAAATATATGTAATTAAAACAACACATTCCATTCTAATTCAATTCTATCATTGTTAATATTCATTAACATCTTAACTTTTTTAACATTACTTTTCAATTAAATATCATACTTCTATGGGAACAGTTATAAGCTTTCCATAATTAATTCCCCCCCTTTACTTATATTTTATAAAACATTAACTAATTAAAATGTTCCCATCCCTTCCTAATTCAATCTTCTCATTTATTTTATTTCATTTATTTTATTAACAAACATTTCACTAAATTACACTATTTTATCCCTCATTTTAATCATACATTGTTTCCAATTTTCTAAAGTTATTTCTATTACTAATATAACAATACAATCTTATGTACCTTTACAGAATCCCCTTTTTCAGTTAAATTTTCACCCATTATCTCTAAATAGGCCCCGTTTCTCTATATCTTGTTTCGGTCCTTTGTAACTTCTTTTCCTTTTCTTCTTTCCTCTCTTCTTCTCTCTCCCCTTTTTACTCCCTTGTCTCTCTACCTCTATTTCTCTTCTGTATTCCCCTCTTCTGTTGCTTTCCAGTATTATACTTATTTTTTGAACTTTTTCTTTTCTTTGGTTGTTTTGTTAAGTCTTAAATTCTCCACTCTCTTTCCCCCCTTTCCTTTTTCTTCCCCACGTAGAATTACTTGTTCATTAAAGATGGCTTCTTCTTTGTCCCAGTCTTCTTCTTTTGCAGACGTTTCTTGTTGTTTCTCATAGTTCCAAATCTCCATTTCTAAGAATTGAAAAATGAAGCCAAAAGAACCCCTCCCTTCTTGTGCATCTTCTTTATACTTTTTAACTTCCATTTTCAATTCATCCAGAAGTGGTGCCATTGTATAAATTTTTAAACAACCACCCGATTAATTTTAGTCATTCAGATGCAATAACCAAAAATCCAAAGATCACCAAGTAATCCAAATACACGCAAGCTGTTTCTTTTTGCTTTTTTTTCACTTTCTCTTCCTGGGGTTCTACTGTTTAGTTACAAAGTTACAAAGTTTCAGTTAAAATGTATCTTTTAGAAGTCTTGTTGAAGTTTTGAAGAGTGAGAGAGATGAGAAGAGAATACCGATTCTTGACCAAATTGCTATTTAAAAAAGAGGTGAATTATAGATGGCTGATTCCAGAAGGTTTAATGTTCACATGGCAAGAACAGAGATATAGAATTGACTCAATTGAGAAAGCTGTTCTTCCTCTATAATTTAATTTCCAATAAATAACCGTATAGTTTTTTGATCACCTTTTCATCAGTACCTGTCGAGATCTTATCTAAATCAGTCAATTTATCATAAAATCCTATAATTGAGGAATAATTATTGAGTGCTCTTTCAATACAATTTTTGAGCCAGCTATGTAGCCACTTAATTATCATGTCAACCATCTTGTGGCTTATTAATCAAAATGTCAAGGAGAATATCAAATATTTTGCTGAAGTCAAGTTATATCTCCAACATTCCCTTGATCTATGAAGGGACATTAACAATCTTTTTTCACTAAATTATCTGGCAATGTTTGCTTTTGACAAACCTTTCCTGATTTCTGGTAGTTTTCAATGTGCTTCCATGGTGATCTTTTTATGTTCTGCTCTGGAATCTTATCAGGTTCAGAGTTAAACTGATCCTTTTGTACAGTAGTTCCTTAGATCCCTCTTTCTTCCTTTTTTTTAAAAATAGGAACATTTGTTATCCACCAATAACAGTATCAAATTAGTATCAAATCAAAGATAGCTGATTCTCTTCGACTTCTCACCATTTTCTGACAGAGAAAGTTCTGAACAGGACATTTTAGAAATTTCCTAGAAGAACCATGCTTAGCAGATACCAAGGCCATTAAATCACTACAACTTAATAACTTCTTTCAAGGATTGTTGCTTTTGAAAATTATGATTCTCAAGTTCTCCCTAGCACTAGAGATATCAACAGAAGTTCTACTTATTTTATCCTGGATAAGTGATTATTTTTCACTTTTTTTTCTGTAAACAAATTGTACCTCTGTTGCAGTATTCTAGTCTTTAGAATCAATCCACTTAGTCTCTATTACATCTTTTAAAGTTTAAACCATACTTGGTTCCTTTTCTTGCGTCCCATTTATTAATCCTTTAGAATCCAAAACACCACGTGCTACATCACCTCTTTTTTCTTCTTCACTTGCGGGAAGAATTCAATATTGAATTACTAGCTTTCAAACCTAAAAGGAAGGATATTAGTTCATATATCATTAGAAAGGGCAACTTTCTTGTTATTCAGATTTTAAGTGCTTACCAGAATTTCAGTAATTCAGCCCCAAATAGTTTGTTTTTATATATCTTGATGACATACATAAAGGATCAAGAATTTCTTTAATCTGTTCAGATAGTGCAATAAAAAACTTACACAAAATGTGTATCAGATGTTTAGATAAAAAATGCTTATTGATCACTTCTTGACAGTCTATATTACGATAGCAAAACAATGCAAGGTGAAATGTTTCAAAGATTTAATTGCATTTACTGTTTTTTTTAACTAGTTCCAAATGTACTTAAATATATATTTTGTTTACAATATTATCAATAATCTTAAATACTTGGAATGATGGAAATTAAGGAGAAAGATCAGAAATACATAACAATCAACTCATACATAACAATCAACTTTAAACAATCAACTCATTAAATAAAAAATATGCCAATTCAAAACTGCTTGAAAGTTTATATTTAATATATGAACATAGTAACTATATATTAAATGTTAGAAAATCTTAATAGTTTCTAATTATTTATTAAATATGTATAGCTATATTTAAGGCAAATACTAATATTCTTTATATTCATAAAAGATCTTTATGATCTGAATCTAAAGCAGACGTCTATTAGCATTTGCATTAAATGTTACTTCATGGCCAACTCTAAGACATGTATTTATATTTGTGTCATTAAATCCAACAGAATTCCTATTAAAATCATGTACTATAAGCATTACATTTATATGAAGGGATTACAGAGATTTTATAATGCATATTATAAATATTTTTAAATGCAGTTCCTGAAAGGAATTTGGTAAACATGATTGTAGATTACTGAACTTTCAAATGAGTGTCTAATAGTCTTGACTATTAAGGTAAGATATGGTTTAAAAAATTAGAACACAGAACCAGGATGAAAAAGAAAGCAGAAGAGATGAATGTTGGTATCAGCCCTAATTAATTGGAAAATCTTTTCTTCGAGTGAACTAGAACAGCACTTCTCAACCAGACCAACTTTTAAGGTGGCTGGAGAATTGAAGTTCAGACATCTTAGAACTGAAGTTCAGACATCTTAAAATTGGGAAACAATGAGGTAGAATAGAAAGACAATTTCTCCATTTTGTCCGAAACTCCTGAATTGCTTTGTCTTTTAAGCTTCCACATGTGCCCGAAAAACTTCCTCTCATAGGTTCTTTCCTTGTTATTCTCTCCAGCTTTATGGATTTATCTTCTAACGAAGATATTGAAGGTTGCACTGATGTTAAGCTCTGAACTTTCAACAGCCTTTTGCACTTCCCAGTGTTGATCCCCGACAACTTCTCTCCTTCCTATTTGGAATCTCTTGTTTTCCGCTTTGTAATCAGTTTTGAAACAAAGGCGCTCTACCTGCGATGCATTCTGCCATTGTTTCAGCCCTCCTTCCTCTCCCCAAGTCTAAAGAACACGACTCATAAACCGAGGCTCCGGCCATTTTCTTTCCTACTTTGCCTTGCAGGTTTTTTTAAAAAAAGGTGGCAGACCATGAAATCTCCCAACAAAGAAAAAGCTTGCAGATTTGACCCGTCTCCCGATCAGGAGAGAGACGGGGCTTTGGAAGAGCCCAACATGGGCCTACTTTCTTCGCACGAAAAGAAGAGCTACTCTGCGCAGGAAGGAAGGAAGGACAAGTCTACACGGCCGGCGCTCAGGGACAGCAGCTTTCAGACAATGGCTACGGCCAAAGGAAAGATGGCGTTGTTCCTTGATGGAGGGGAAAGACAAGGCGAAGGGCGCCTTGTTTGCTTCCTCTTGGAGGGTCTTGTCTTTGTGTGTCGACCTCCTAGGGGACATAGGAGGCCGTTTCCCCGAGAGGGACAGGCTTGTCAGGGCGAAAGGTAGTTTTGTGCTTGAGTTACACCATACATTGTACTCCGGCCATCCCCGGAGCTTGGCTCGCCCGCTCTCCCTCACGCAAACCAACACCAGCGGGGGGAGGGGAAAGGGAGGAGGGACTCGGTGGGGAAGGCAATGAGCGCCAACGGCCTTCTTGACTTTCATAGAAACTCTCCGCGCAGCGGCCGCGCGACACCGTTCCCCACCCTCCCAGGCCGCTTTCCGGACGCGGGGAAATAGCCGAAGACCCCTCCACCGCCGCCGCGCCACGAGGCATAAAGAGAGAAAAGCGAAAGGACGATAGGCCGCGGCCCCGCACACTTGTCCGGGCCTCGGTTCCTTCCGTCCCATGCGCGGCGCAGATCCTTCCGCCGCTCTCACCCCACCCCTTCCCTCCATTGCTGAGCTCGGCAATTCCCGCAGTGCCCGGATGGAAAGTGTAATGGCCGCCAATAGTGACTCGTCGGAGTATGGAGACGGGCGAGGTAATCGAGGCGCCCAGCGAGCGGAGCGGTTAGCGGGCGCGGGGAAGGCGCGTGTCCCTGGGCGCCCCTACGGGGAGGGGGCCCACCCAACCCCCCCACCTCCCGCCGCCGCCGCCGCCGGTTGTAGCGAGAGAGGGGCTCTTTGCAAGACGGGCGACCCCCCGGTACCCGCCCTCTCGCTGTGGGCTGAGGCATCAAATAGTCCCCAATGCTCCGCCATCCCCTCCCGCGGCCGCCGTTGGGAAAGTTGGTGGCGCGCCCCCGTTTCTGACCCCGGGAAGCGGGGACGGCTCGGGAAGGGCTTTGGCGGCGCGTGGTGGGAGTTTTAGGAAGTCGGCGGGGCGCTGTGACAGCCACGGCCGCGCGGAAGACCGGGCATCAACAACGGCCGATGAACTTTTGTGCGCGCGTGGGCGGCCACCCTTCGCTTGGAGGGCGAACCCCAGAATCAGGCTGTCCTCCAGAGAGAGTGAGAGGGAAAGATATGTGGGCATCCCAAGCCATGCCTAGACTCACCTGCCTCTTGATATGTGGCAGGGAAACGCTTTGAAAAGCCGTCCTTTTCTTCACATGGTTATCATCCGGACATCTTTGTAGCAACTTGAGAGTAGGGTTTTCCTGCATCCCTTGGCGTCCCTGTGCTCACCCTGAAAGGTCTTCACCTGCTACATTGTTGACCCCTCCACTTTTAAAGCGTCTTGAGTAGGAGCTAAACACACTTGGGCAAGACACTCACATTCAAAAGGAACCTCCCCAGCAGGTGAAGTGGTTGACTATGCACAATATGGCACTTTAGGGTGCACGGACACATATTTTTTCAAATTTAAAATGTCTCTTTTTCCAAGTCTAGAAGGACCAAGGGAACTAACTTGGACACTGTTCTTGCAATTAGCCATTCAGAAATAGAAAAGCTACTCACTGGCAAGTAAAAGTAAACTTTTCTATTAATTACATACGCCCATCATTTCTCTCCTCCATCTTTCAGGCTAGTGAAAGGAACAAAATATAGGGGCAGCCTTATTGATGTCTAATTAGAAATGTATCCCTTGGTGTAGGATTGTATTTTATTACAGAATAATGTCTTCTTATCCTTACTCACCTAAGGAACAAAGAAAGAGGTGGAGAGAAAAATGAGCGAAGACAAATAGCAGGCATTTGCTTTTGTCCAGTAATCAGACCAGTGAGAGGAAGGAGCAAGGAGATGGAGGAGAGGGGGAATGTGCAGGTGACAAAGCCACAGGAAAATTGAAAAGAGGAGACTTAAAAAAAATCCCTCAAAACTTTGCCACCTGGTGAGTTGTACATTATGGTGGAGATTATTGTTGACCCTCTTATCAAAAGGAGTAATGCTGTTCTTTCTGATGGGAAGGAAAATTTAAAAAATCAGTGGTGCTGGTATGAAGCTGTTGGATGAATTTTCTTGGATTCCCAAGTTTAAGAGCATTAAGGATTTATAGGGATGAAAGAAGCAAATAAAAGCTATTGGATGAGCACTGAGGAATTTTCACTAGAAGTTTTAATTTATCTAGGAAATTAAATTTGAATTACATTATCCAAGCCTTCCTGAATTGCCCTTTTTGTCTTTACCATGTAAACTTACAATGGAAGAGTCAGTCTACCAGACTTTTGTTTCAGTGATTTATGTGCTCCTGTAAAACCACTGGGATTGCAAAGTAGTATAAATGTAATAAATAAATATGTGTTTCTCAGTAGGATCTTCAATTTATATTGGAGCCTTTCAGCATTGCCCTTAATTGTTTGTTAAAAAGAACAAGTCAAAAATCTCGAAAAACCTGTAACATTGTCTTATTTTGTTTGGATTAGTTTTTTACCCAAACAACATAATAATTTGTTGCTCAGAAATAGGTAATGGCTACTAGCATCATTCCAAAAGCAAGCAGGATGATGTTAATGACTACATCATTACATGGCAGAATGATGTACAGTAGTGCATCTTGAAAGACATCATTGAATAAATAGACCAATGAAGTTATGCTTATGAATGATTTAATGCTTTTATAGCAAAAGAGACTGGTGATTATTTCTGATGCCAATGGGCCATTTTATTAAATAACTGAGGTTCTGGGTGTTTTTCTTGATAATTGTAAGTTTCATAGATTATTTCTGTTACATAGTAACTGTCATTTCAAGCTAGCGTTATAGGTTAACCTAATACATAGGCTTTTGTTTAAAATAATAAACATCCAAAATGGCATTATAAGTAAACTCATTATGGGGAAGATGTAGATGGCACAAATAATATTTTGCTATGTTTCAAAATTGTATGTTTCTCTTTGCTGAATTTTGAACAGTTTCAAAATAAGGGGTATTTCACACTGATAATTCATTGTTGCCATTGTTGATGTGGACACTTCTTTTTCATCAATTATATTACATATAACATTGAAGATTTGGAATTTTGTTGCAAAAATTAATATTTTCTTTCTATTAATTAACATTTAGATTCTACTTTGTATAAGGATGTCAAGATCTTTCTAATTTTAAAAATTGTTTTAAAGGATACTTTAAAAGTTTTGATTCTTGTAGGGTGATCCAGTCTTTGCAGTTAATTCTTTTGCCCAGAGAATATTTTTTGTTGTTTATTCTGACACATCTTGTTATGCACACTCTGTTACCTAAATGCACCATTTAGAACATTCTGATTTTAAATAAAGTGTTAATTTTACTAAAAGTTTAGACTTTTTAAGGAAGCAATATTTTTGTTAATCATATTCAGACTAAAAGACTAAACTATTTTATTCAGCACTAAAAGGACTAGTTAGCATAACTATTTTCAGTCTTGTATCTGTTTTTTTAACTATAGAGAATGACAACTTTTATAGTAAAATGACATCAGAATTTGTTCTAATTTATTAAGGAAAGACGTATCTGAAATATTAAACACTCAAATTTTAACTTTTGATACTTTTGTATTTTAAAAATAATATTTTCTTTATTTTAGGATGTGTTGTACATTGAATGCAACGTCTTTTGAATCTTGATTTCCAAATTCACCTCTTGAGCAAGCTATTGGAAATGGCATCATAATTTTATTTAAAGAGTAAGTTTTATAACTTGGTTACACTTTAAAAGGCTAAAATGGGATTTGAGAAATTTGGTTAAAAAGTTAGGTGTCCAAACTTTTGGCTTGACTGGACCACATTGAGTGAAGAGGAATTGTCTTGGACCACATGTAAAACATATAGTTAATGTATAAAAATCACATCGTAATGTTACAAATTTTAAATCTTGTGGGGCTGTATTAGTAACTCTTCAGGGCCACAGGAGGTTTGTGGGCCACAGATTGAACACACCTGGCTTAAAAGTGTTATGTTTTAAATTTTTTATATATGAATTCTGGCTTATAAATAATAATGCCTGCTCATAGTAGGTGACAATACTTGGCAATAAAGCTGTTACTAAATTGTGATTTTGAATATGATAGAGGAATTTATTAAAATAACTAGAGATAATATTTGTGCACTTCTAAGGTTTTGAGAAATACAAGTTTTGAGAAAGGTTCTTGAATGTGCGGCATTTGATGAAAAGCAACACTAGGCATAATGAATGGCAAGAGAGGAATAGAATAGGATAGGAATAGAATAGTTTATTTGTCCAGGATGTGAGGGATATGTAGCTATTTTTTCCAGCCCTCCTCCTGACCCACACGATTTACAGGTCTTCTGTGGAAGGCATGCTGATTGCAGTTGTTTTTTCTGCAGTCCTAGCTATCTGTTGGAGTCTTTACCTGTCCTGTTTAGTTGCTGTACCAAACTAGACAATTATAGAAGTACAAATGTAGACTCCTCCTTTGGCAGTCTGAACTTTTTGAGTTGACATAGGAAGAAAATTCTTTGTTCTGCCCTTTTAATGATGGTTCTAATGTTAGATGTCTATTTCAAATTCTGGGAGATTATAGAACCCCAAAACTTGTGCTTTCAAATATATTAAGAGGTGGTAGAGTAAGGTTCATCCTAAATGACAGTTGTATCATCTGCAAACTTCAGTACTTTAACAGAAAGATTCTTAGAGATGCAGTCATTGGTACAAAGAGAGGAGAAATGGAGATAGCACAGAGATAGCACACCTGTCTGTGCTAATTGTCTTATTATTAACCATTAAATAATAGTTTTAAGAAGCAAAATACCTCTATTTGGTAAAGGTGGTGAAGTCAGTGAATGAAAGTCAGAGGAAGGAAGCCAGAACAGTAAGGGGAACAAAAGAGGGGTTACTTTTCTGTGTCTTAGAACAAGGGAAGTGCTCCTTTCAGAATATTTAACAAACCATATAGTGTATTTGTTACATTACATCATGAAATAAAGTGACATTATTTGGTTAATCAGTTATTTGATTGTTTTAGTTTTAAAAAAATTAAAATTAAAGGAAAAAGGTCAAGGACATTAGATGAAAAAGATATTGACAGACCTGAACTAGATTGGAAAGGATAGTAGTGGCTGGACAATTACTTTTTGATGTAACTGTATCAAAAGAAGGTATACAATGAGAATAGCTGATAAGAATGAAGAACAGTTATCTAAAAAAGAATAAATGAATGACTCAGCGAGTGTAGGATGATGACCAGTAGATAAAAAATATTTTTGGTATTCTGAAACATAGCCATAAAGGATGAAGCCAGAGAATTCAGAACATATTAATAAGTCTAGTTTTTTTAAAAAAAAGAAACAAGTTTTATAGCAATATCCTTTTAGCACCTATATTGTAATGCTTCCTGCCAGTACTTATATGCTGTCTAAAATGGGATTCTGGGCATTTGCTTTTTTTTTGAAGTTTTATAAATTAACTTGATATTTTTATTTCAGATATGCCAAGTTAAGAAAATTGTGGAACTCTGATAATAATTCAACTCAGAGTCTTTTAAAAGACGAAGATTGCAATAATAGTACATTACAAAAAATGCCATCTGAGCAAGAACAATTTTTTTGCATTCAGAAGACCAACTTGTTACAAGATGATGAGTCAGATAGACTGTGTGTTTCTACATCTAATATTACTATTGAAAAGTCTACATTTGATCCTACAATTTCAGATATTGTTGCCTATGGCCTAAAAAAGGTGAAAATAGAATTGCCCAGGGTAAACATACCAAATGAAATAATTTTTAAAAATGAAATTGACAAATATATGAAATTATTTCAATGTAAAGAAAAAGCATCTTTCATTCAAATGGATGTGAATGGGAACAACGTAAATTATTCTGAGATTTATATTCCACATAACAAATCAGGATTACAGTATGACGAAGGCTTGAAAACAGCAAAAATACTGAATTTCAGTTGTACAAAATGCCAAAACAACATCAGATATAGCCCAAATGATCTACAGAAACATTTTCAGTTGTTACACCAGGGAGAATTGCCATCGTACCCCTGTGAAATGTGTAATTTTTCAGCTAATGACTTCCAGTCATTCAACCAACATCGCCGAACGCATCGTAGCACCTTAGTAAAATGTGAAATCTGTAATGATGATCACCGATATACTCTATTGGACTTAACAAAACATTTCACATCTCAACATTGTGTAAATGGTAATTTTCACTGTGAAAGATGTAGATTTTCAACCCAAGATGTAGGCACCTTTGTTCAACATATACATAGGCATAATGAAATGCAGTACAAGTGTGAGAAATGCCATCATGTCAGTTTTTCAGAAGAAGAGTTTCAGAAGCATGTTGTTTCACACACTGGCATGTTTCCTTTCAGTTGTCAGTATTGTAACTACATGGCATCACGGAAAAACTACCTTTTAAAACATATTATTACCTTACACAAAGACCATCTCTATGCAAAAGATAAAATGAATACAGATGATAATGAAAAAAGGGTGAAGAATTCAAAAGGACTAAAACTTATCTTGAAAAGGTACAAAACTGGTGCATCAAGGAAAGCATTGTGGAAGCGTAAAAATATTACCACCGATGGCTGTAGAACTGAAGAAGAGGATGAACAAGTTTTCAAGGCCTTGAAAGAGAGTCTGCCTAAATCCGAAGAAGTAGGTCAGTCTGTAAAAGAACTCCGTGACATTCTTTTAAATGAAAAGCTTGTTTATAGTGGATCAAAATCCTCTCCAACAATTCAGTACAGCAGAGCAGAAGGTGGACTAGGTTCCACTAGGGGATTGATGAAAACAGCCGTTCATGGTCCTACAGTGCTGATGCTTAAAAATAATAAAATATCTGTTCCTGCAAACTATAGTGCTAAATTTTTGGGATTCAAAACGGTGGATGGAAAACAACATATAGTAATAAAATTGCTACCTACAGAAAAACAGAATTTGCCAGGAGGAAATAAGTTTGATGGGATTAAAGATGGTGCAACTGAATGCCAAGAAGAGACAGCTGTCAACTGTAATTTACCTTTAGTTGCTAGATCTCATGAAATTAATAATCAAATGCCTAGGAATAATTCTGTTCACTTGTTAACATCTCCATTATCTAACCAGTTTTCGGGAAAAATAAAGCAAGAAGGTAAGACTACGTTATGCTGCAGTGTATCACAGAATATTGCACCACCTATTGTGGTAGGAAAGCGTGCAACCCGTTTGCCGGTGAAATCTGAAACATCTTCATTTCCTTGTGATTTGGTGGTCAAGAATAGAAGTCCAGTTTCATGGAAAAATTGTTTACCTCAAGACCATTCCCAGCTTTTATCCTCTTCTGGTACACGCATGCTTCATTATGATCCCATGAAAAAACCTTTTCCTCCAGAATTCAAAGTAGTGAATGGTGAAGTAAACAACAATAATAAACACAATAATCTCTATTGTTCATCGGCAGATTTTTCCAGTCATGCACCCTTGCCTTTCCATAATTATTCTAAAATAGGCTTTTCGGAAACATCAAAAGAACTTACTGCCAACAAAATTTATCCTCTGCAAAGCAAGCCTACGAGTGAATCTATGCCTTGTTTTTCACAATCAGTAACAGAATTAAATTTAGACAAAAAATCACTGCTGCCTCTTTATGGCTTTGTAAATGGTAATAATACTCAAGTATTCTCAGCCAGCCCACCTACTCACAGTATTGACAAACAGTGTTGGTTAGAAAATAATGATGGACAATTGTATTTGAATACCAAGGTAAATCAAGTGTTGGAAAATGTAGCTAAAAAATCCAAGCAAGAAAATGATTCTAATTATGTAAATTCATCACTTATGCCCAAAATAACATCAGTTTTCTCCCTTCAAAGTAAGCAGGCATCCACCTATTTGTCACCTGAAATAAACCAGTCATTACAAGATGTATTAAAAAGACCAACCATCGCTCAGTCAAATAACTATGCTAAAACTAATTATGACGGATCTTTTTCAAACAAATACACAAATTGTAGGACATTTTCACATAATGATCCATCACCTTGTTGCAATTTAACTGTTTCCTCTGATAAATTTAAGAGAGAACCGAATACGAACAACACTGCAACAAATGAAAGTATATACCTGAATGGAGGACAAATCCCTTTGCCTCTTAAAACAGAAGCAATAAATTCAGCATCAGGGAAGACCAGTGTTGGTACACTGCTTAAGACTCAGACAGATTCAATCATAACACAACAGTTGGCGAAAGATAAGGTGCGCTATAATACCTATGGCCCTAGTAAAATGTGTCCATTTTTTCCTGAACAGAAAAAAACAGTACTACCGTCAACTCCACCAAGATTTTTTGTACCTTTGCAGCTTGCTCACAAGCAAGGATTACAAGTTATTTCAGGAAGGCCTTCTCCAAAAGTGAGTTCATCAGATGCTCAGACAACCAGAACTGCATCTTTGCTTTTAAATAAAGGACCTGGAATGATTTTGACATTTGGAAGGGGGACCCTTGGAACAGCTGTAAATGCCACTGAAAATAATTCTCAGGGTTTAGAGAAAACTGTATCTAAGAAGACAGTCTCCTCAGACAAGGACCTACAAACAAATTATTCTAGAAGCCTAAGAAATTCTAGTATTAATACGTGTAGTGATGCTTCATCCATTGCCATTCCACAAAATGATCAGCAGAACATTACAAATCCAGAGAGCAGACTTTCTTCCATGAAAATACTTGCTGGATTTCAAGGCAGTAAGGCTGCTTGTGCAAAGTCTGCAAAACAGTCAGAGGTTGGACAGGAACAGCCAGTGTATGCACTTTTGCCCAATGGCAGACAAGCAGTTTTTCTTAAGTGTATGTCATCGAACAAATCTCTTGTACAAAACCGTAATATTTTTCAAGGTCCTACATATAGTCAAAGTTCTGAACCAAAGAAACATGGAGCAATGCAACAAAAGCTTTTTTTGAAAATTAAGACTTTCCCTGCTGCGGACAAATGCCAACCAGTTAGCAACATTTTCTCATCTTTGCAGTTGAACAATATGAAGTGTTGCAATACTCCTGCACTAAATCAGAAAAATACAGCTCACCCTTCTAGCAATGCCTTATCCTTATCAGGTAATATGATGCCAGCAAATGCTTATTCAGCAAATGAGAAATCAAAAGATTCTTGCTCCTCTGTAGAACTGGTACATTCATCTAGAGACGGAAAGACGTGGTCACAAAAGCCCCCACCTCAAAAAGGAACAACTAACAAAGGAAGCAGTTTTGAAAATCAAAAAGCCACAGAGAATACGTCAAGACAAATGTCAAAGGTTAGGTGTCATTCAAAGCAAAATGATGCTAAAGTTTTTAATGCTACAGTTTCGCAGAAGAATAAGAATTTGAAACGGAAAGCTAACGATGACTTTCAGGGACCTCCTCGAAAGAAAACATTGCATCGAAAGTGCAAAGAAAAAAATCAAGTAGATGTGAATGAATCCTTGTTTCAAATCCCTTATAGACCAAGAGCATCAAAAGATACTCTAAGGATTTTAAATTTATTTCCTTTTCATTCTAAGCAACTTGTCAAATGCCCCCGGAGAAATCAGCCTGTTGTTGTGCTAAACCACCCTGATGCCGATGTCCCTGAAGTTTTAAATGTTATGAAAACTATTGCAAAGTTTAAAGGACATGTTCTAAAGGTCTCTTTATCAAAGAGAACAATAGATGCTCTTCTGGAGCCAGAATATTATAGCAACAGTTTGTACTTAATTACTAATGAACTGACTCAAAGAAAACACAAAATGCTAAAACCTGTAAGTCCTGTAAAAGAAAGATTTGTTTTAAAATTAACACTGAAGAAGACTAGCAAAAATAATTATCAGATTGTGAAAACTACCTCTGATAATACGCTGAAAACTAAATTTAGCTGCTGGTTTTGTGGGAGGATATTTGACAATCAGGACAATTGGGTAGGGCATGGACAGCGCCATCTAATGGAAGCCACTCGAGACTGGAATTCATTAGAATAACTTATTGAAGAATATAAAATCATGTTCCTTTTACTGCCAATTATTTTGGCTGATACCATCCCAGGAACACATTATGTTTTTAAAATCAAGTTTCATGTTAGCACCTAAAATGAATCTCTATAAATTTTAATAGTTGATATTGCAGTTTAATTTGTGTTTGTTATTACTATCATGGCATATATTTGTAATTGGAGAATGAATTTCAGGGCTTTTCTGTCTTGTATATATTTAAACATGAAAGCATGTACATATTTTTGTACTTTGGTTATTTGCTACAAAATCTTGCACAGGAATTCTATTTTCCAGCTCTGTGCATGCACTACTAAAAGGGTTTTCAGCTATCCACAGCTATTGCCGTATTTTTCCTTGATCTTTTAAATATTTTTTTTCCAGGGATTGATCACTGTTGTTAGCAAGTGCCTAAAAGATGTGAAGCAGTTTACTTTGTGTCAACTGTATAACCATGGGTCTGTATAGGACCAGGTCTCCTAACAGTTTCTTTTAAAACAAAGCCATATGTGAATGCTTTAAGCTATATTGCTATGCACATGACACTTGTACTATTTCTGTGCAGTTTGTCTACTTTCTTAGTGAAGTATTTTTTCATACAAATCAATAAACTTATTACTGTGTTTATGCCTAATTAAGATAACTGTTGAAAACAATGTATTCCCTGTTTGTATAACAGTACTACTGAATTCCAAGTGAACATTTGTCATCCCTACAACATTGGTATTAAATTTTATTAAGAATTGGATTTCATAATTTTGCAACCAAATGCCTGTAAAAGACAGTCTTGTCATTGTGATCATGGTCATGCTAGAAAGCAGAATTGTAATTTTCTTTGTTACATTTTGGAAAGGGTTCCTTTTAATGGAACACCATCAGTTGGGATTTGAAACATTGATGTTTCATAACCATACGTTAAGAATATTTGAATTTAATTGAAAAATATCTTGCTTGGACCATCATTTCTTATTTAGACAAAATATTTGTCTCAGGTTGATTGAAGATTTTGTCTGTCAGTTTCCCCCCTCTTTATACTGAAAGTACACATAGATGATTTCTACTGACCCTTTACTTATACACAATCTATTGGCTTTCTGAAAGCCTACAGTTGGGGGTGGAGTGGGATGCCATTGCATAATTCTGGTCTGTTAAGGTACTTTTATCTGGAAACAGATCATCTTTCTTCTCACTAAGAAATAACAGAAAAATATATTTGCTGTAGTGCAGACCTGCCAAATGAAAAGTTTTCAACTTTGTATTAGATACACACAGCTTTCAAGTGAGAAGAATACACTGAACAATAACATAGATGGTGCCTTCTTTCTCATGTAAAATGATGGATAAGGGAATAGATATTTCTTAAAATTTTCCACAAACTTGAGATTTAATTCAGGTCCAAACAGGTGCTGTGTGCTGTTAACCTGTATGTTGATAGAAATAATATATTAACCCCCCTTAAGAAAGTGAATAATTTGACTGATATTAAAGTGATGTGTTTTGAAATGAATTACGATTCAGGATTACCTTTTAAAATTTCCCCTGCACATATTTCTTGTTAATAAGTTTGTTATATAGATATATTACTCTATAATTGTATTAAATAATTTAAACCTTGAATAAAGCACAGGTGTTTATTAATATCAAGGAATTAACTTGCGGTAAAAAGTCTTGGTTGTTTTGTTACTTGAGCTGACTTTCTCAGTACTAAGCAACTTAAATATTATTTTACATAGGAGCAATTGTATCAAGATAATTAACACCTGCATATCTAGACATTTCACTTATATTCTCTATTTGTAAAAAGAAAACATTAGTCACAGAGGGCTCAACCATGTATTTAGATCGAGTTTCAACTTGTTTGCAAAATTAAATTTTCTAAGGCTGCCGGGCACGTAAACATGCACATATGTACGCTCCTAACATGGCTTAAGCATTTATATGGGGCCTAGCCTTTGCCACAGTGCTGCTGTATGTCATATTCCTTGAATATGTAAGATCAGAGTAATTTTGTCCCTCATTTTCTTGTAATACTGATATTTTTAATCCTATTATATGGCACAATATTAAAATTTATTTTTGCTAAATATTTTGGGTAAAATAAGATTCTTCCAAATGTTGATGCAATTAAGTAGCATTCCTTTTTAACGTTAGGTTGTGTTACACTGGAATGATCTCTAAAAATGTGTACTGGAACTAGGAAACAAACCCATTTCTTTACTAATTCTTTAAACAAGGTGATAGAAATGAGTGCCGGATAAATATGTGTTGTTAATTTAAGCATATTTGGACGTTCGCTGCAAACCTGTATCAAAAATCAGACATCTGAGCTAAGTGTGTGATATTGTTGAAATGATGATGATAACAATATCCATTCAGTCATGTCCAACTCTTGGCAATTCCATGGGCCAGGTCTCTCCACCTCTTCTGATTTTGCACTCCTTTGAGTTGTTCTGTCCTCTGGCCGGTGTCAGCTTTCATAGTGTCCAGCCACTATGTTCTATGGCTGCCTGGTTTCCTTTTACTGCTAAATTTACCGCTAAATTATTGAAGCATATCAAACTAATTGGAGAAACACCTGTCTTTGCCATCTTATAAAAAGAAATCTGGGTTTATTTACCATTTTGCTGTGTTCCAGTTAAATCAGAATCCAAATGCAACATTTTTTAATGTATTGTTTGGAAAGAAAAACATAAAAAACATAATTAAAACTTAGTGAAACTAGATGTAGATTTCCCATGAGTATATTGCTTATTTGGGAACAAAAATGTAAAACTATCTTAATGTTTACACTTAGTATGCCAGTATTATTACTGTTATTAAATAAGTATTTTTTTAAAAAACAAAATGCAAGTAGTCCTCAAGTTACGATAATTTAACTAGTTTGAAATTATGGCCTTGGAAAAAGTTACTTATGACCGTCCTTGAAGTTACAAACTTTGCACCACCTCCCATGGTCATGTGATTTTAATTTGGACACTTGGCAACTGATTTGCGTTAGTTACATCATCTTGTGATCACATAATTGTGATTGCAACCTTCTGAGGTGACTTCCTGGACAAGTTAAGTAAATTGGGGTAACCAGATTTTCTTAATTACTGATTTACTTAAAGACTAGGGTCATAGGATCAGATCTAGTCACGTAATAACTTGTTTAATGATCACATTCAATTATTGATTGAAATTTCTGGTCCCAATTGCAGTCATAAATTGAAGACTTATTTGACTGAGAACCATTTAGTCTTTTTTTAAAATCAATTTTACAAAATCAAATGGTAGAATTTGGAATGCAGCAAGTACCCTTACAAAATTAATGGGAAGTCAAGCTGATATGTACACCTAAGTTTTTAAACTTAACTGTCCAGTTTAAATTTTCCAGGAGTCATAAAATACAGGTTCCCATTTCTTGTATTTAAAAGCTTCAAAAATAACATCTTGCTGAATGCAGATCACAACTGCATGATGAGTCTAGTGGAAACACACACATCCCCTCCCAAAGAAACACCGAATACTTGTTTTGTACATTCATGTGGCCAGAGTATTTTACAGTCCTGAAACATTTTGCAGAAGCATGCAACAGCTGAGAAATAGTTAAGTATTTACTGTGCAAGAATGATAAATTTCTATGGATCATACTGTAACTGCGTCTTGATAAATTATACATAATTATTTTTATATATGTACACTTAAATCAAAATTTGATAATAGCTTCAACAAATACAGGTAAAATACGTACCAGTCCATTACACTAAACAAACATCCTGATTATTTTAAATGGCTGTCAGAGCAATAAAAATCCTGCTTTTAGCTGGTTACATAATGGTTCTTTGGAATACAGACACCCTAGCTTTGAAAAATCAGAGTTTTGCAGGACAAGTAAACGCTAGCAGGTAGTTTTAAATAAATCTTGTCTGCCACTGAGATTTTTTTTGCCTTTAGAGTTTGTAATATATATATAGGGCTTTGGACACTGACTGGAGCAGCATTTCATAAACGAATCCACTAGCTTTGTAATAGCCTGGTGCTTGCTGGACAACGTGGAGAAAATAGTTCTAACCATAGTTGTGCATATTTGTTCAGATGCTCAAATCCTTGGAAAATGAGGGCTAGAAGATACTCCATGACGCTCCTTGGTGCAGTTACAAAACTCTAGCAATATATTTTAGCCTGGTGGAGTCTTTTGTATTGTTTTGACTGTCAATGAGAACGAGAGAAGTCCGCTGATGATTCTCTATTATTTCTGCCACACTGTCAAAGTGCTGGATTGGGAAAACAAAAATAGTTTATTCAACACAAATCCTGCTGAATGGGTCAACAATCATAATTTAAATTTAAATGCTCTTTTCCACTATGATAGCTCTAAAACAAAACAATTCTGTTTGAGAAGTCAGCATTTACACGTTCCAATTTCTATAATTTCTAGCACTTTTGTATGTGAATTGTTTCCAATGAAAAGTAGGAGTAGAGTAAGCTAAACTGCAAGTAGTACTCTCAAGGCTGGCTTCATTTAAAAAAAAAAAAATCCTAGTACTAAATACGGCTTTATTTTGTCATTACCATTAGAATAGAACAGAACAGAACACAGCTGGAAGGGACCTTGGAGGTCTTCTAGTCCAGCTCTCTGCTGAAGCAGGAATCCACGTACCATTTCATACCATTCAAATGGAATGGTTAAATAGTTTAGCGGTTTCCAATCAATGGGTTGTGAGAAAATTTTGGTGGGCCGCAGAGAAATATCATCCTCAGAGCACCCCCCAAAGCAATTAATCCAGGCTGCGCAGAAACACAAGGCTGCGCCACCCACATGGCCCGCAGGAACCCTCCCCACCCATTCACCCCTTACCCGGCAAACCTGCCTGCTAAATTGCTATATTTCCTTTTTCCGACCATCAGCTGTTTTGCTGTGCCAGGAGATTTAGATTAGCTAGGAAGCAGGAAATCGTTGGATTTCTTGCTTTCTAGCTAATCTTTAGATCTTTGGCTCTGCTTTTAAACATAGCCAAACCTCCCTTAGGACTGAAGGTTCTATTATTCAGTGCAGACTCACGGCAAGCAAATTTTATGTGACAGACATAAAATCACTGAATGATTCTGTGAGCAACTCGATCTGCCTGCCTGCTTGCCTTGCCTGATTTTGGGTAAAAGTTGTTCTTTTTCATATAAAAAAATTCAATATTTACATACATGGTGTATTGTGAGTTAATTTTGTGAGTTTGCTTGCAAGCAAATTTTATGTGACAGACTGAGCTAGCCGATGGCAGATAGATCTCTGAATGAATCTGATTCTGTGAGCAACTCAATCCTGCTTTGCCTGATTTGGGTAAAAGTTGCTCTTTTTAAATAAAAAATTCAATATTTATATAAATATTTATAATATTTACATACAAGCCATGCCCAGCCAGTCACATGACCACCAAGCCATGCCCACAAATTAAGCCAAACCAACAGAACCGGTTAACTGTCCCTGGGATTTAAAATTATGAGTTTGGTGGTCCCTGAGGTCCAAAAGGTTGGTGACCCCTGGTTTAATGTCAGCATCTCTTTAACATAATTGAGACCAAATTCTAAATGAGACATGTAGGGTTTTCTCCCCTCTTGTGGAATAGTGGAACATGTAGGTGCTAAGGTAATATAACCCATGTAGCATTGTTTCAGGTAACCCTGGCAGAAGATAATAGGGAAAGTAAATTCCATGTTCAACTGTTCTATAGGATTTTCTTTTTCTGTACATAAGTACTAATCAACAAGCTCAAATATGCATACGACTTAATTCTCTCATATGATTTTTTTTTAATATTCTCTTGTCCTCTACTCATAGTCTTGTGTAAGACTAGAATTACTGTACTAAGTAGAACCAAATTTAGCAATTACTGAAATTGCATTGATTTCCGGGGGTGGGGGAACTTTTAAGTGCAAGAAAATACAGATTAATCCAAAGTAAATATTTCATTGCAAAAGCAGGCTAAGAGTTTCTTAATAGTAATTGTAACTTTTGAATTAACTCTTAATGCTCAATGTTAATATGAACAATTACTATTAAAAAATGGCTTTACAGAACAGTGGGTGAATTTATGTAAATATATATTGTTCTGTACAAGATCTGTACCATTTTTAATCCCTTTGGATAAAAGCATTCTTCCAAAATTTTGTCCCAGGGGTGTTAAAACTTTAGTGCATTCTGGAGTTGTGAAAGCTATGGTTCCCAATACACTTTGGAAATTACTACAGATTAGCAAAGGCTACAGTAAGAGCTTGATAAGAAAACAGTTGTCCAAAATAGAAAAAGACAACTATATTTTGTTACAAGGTCCCACTGTTTAAAAGCATGCAGCCATAATTTGAAGTTTTAGGTAGTTTTTTTTTAAATTAAGTCATGATTTGTTTCCCTACCAGAAACTTCCCCCTTTGGAGTTGAATAATATCCCTTCATATAGGTAGTCTGGTGCTGATTAAATTCTGTTCTCTTTCAGAATATCTACCACTAAAAGCTCCTAATAAGAAATGTTTAATTAAAAAAACTGAAGACAGGTTCATAGTTAAAGAGGATGGTAAACTCTATGCACATTTTAATTAGACACGCTGGCTAAAATCTCTTCCTGTCAAGAAGCTATGTTCATGTTTATGATCAACATACAGATCAACATATTTCTAAGCAGTGTAAACCAAATTTCCATGCAGGTATTTAAAAATCCAAAATAAATCACCTACCTCCTCACCAGTCTTTTCTCTACCCAGAGCATATTGCCTTTCTGATTCAATAAATCGGATTGGGATGTTATATACCCTTTTGTTATAAAATACAACCAGTGTATATGGTTGCTTAGAATCTTGTCCAGAACTCTTCCTTACTAAGAAAGACCCATCCTGGAAAAAAGAGAGTGAAAAATATGAATTTCAAGGAATAATGAGAAGAAATAGTGTTAGTTCAATTTTCTTAATCCTTTTTTTCTTTCTGATAACTCAATCGATAATAAGAAAATCCCCCCAGCATTGGGCTGGAGTCTTTGGCTTTTACAACCCCATGGACTACTGCCTGTGTCCACAAAAGAACCATATATATTTTTAGATGTACATA